TTGTTTCTCAGAAGGTTACTGACTATTTCCGACCACTCAGATAATTAGCCGACCGCTGTTCGAGTACCAGTGGAACAGAGGAGACCTTCATGTCTTCTCGTAATGGGAAACGGCTTTGAGAGGACTAACGCTACTAGGACTGTTCCATCATAGGTGCGTTTGTTGTTACCGCGGTAAGGTATCTGGGTATTTTTGACGAGTATTTTGTCTGCCTATGGGTGAGTTACTGTGGCAAGTGTTATTGTTCTTGCAATGGTGGTTGAGACTGGGATCTCACAGGCGACGGAATGAGCGATGGGACGAGGGAAGTTTCCAATTTGAACAGCTTGACACAAAAAGATTATGTAAGAAATAATGGAATCTGGTTAAGTTAGGAGTTGCATTTCATGGTGGGATTAATAAGTACCTGCGTGCGGTTTGAGGTGTAGGAGGGCGATTGTGTGAATAAAATAATCCCCTCTGACCACTGCTGGGACGACTGAGATATGGTACGTAGTACTCTTACAGTTCTGTTGCGAGGCTATTCGCAGTAGAAGCTAACGCCACCAATTTTTGCGAGCAACATACGCCCATATAAGAACTTTATTTCATTTGTTAACTTTTCTCGATAACTGCTAAGTCATAAACCACTTACGAGCCAGGCATATCCGCACATCAGATCTCTTTTATTAGCCGTGTTTAAATAACAGACAAGCATATTGTTGAATCGAGTGAAAAATATTCACACGCGCAGTTAACATTTTTTTTTTACCATATAAATAGTGGAGTCGGTAAACTATGATTGCAGAAAACCAAAATGCCAACATATTGCAATAATAACAGCAAAGTTCGTTCAATTTAACAAAACGTAAGTATGTATGTATGGCTGTGCCACTAAATGGAAAACTGCATACACTTTGAAACAAATTTGTAAAAGTTGTGATAACACCGTCATAAAAACGAATTGTAATTGCCTGAAAACATACCAACACAAAAAACAAATTCTTCATAACGAAGTTATAATACGAAAAATTTTAATGTGCAGGGCAAGGCTTTCGACAACAACAACAACAAAACCAAATCGGAGTTTAAAAAACATTTTTAAATCAACCATGTTCTGCATTGGGCGCAGAAGATAACGAACAAAGGGAAAATTGGTAGAAAAAAAAACTTGTGCGACACACTAGGTGTTTGCACAACTTGTTAATTGATGTAATTTGGCTGCAAACTGTACAGCAATGCCCAAAATATTGGCACAACTTTTAGCCCGAAATATATCGTATCGTCGTTTAAAGTACAAACAAACGTAATCTTCGTGTTGCGGTGAGGTGAGGTAAGGTGAGCTGAATGGAGGCGAGATGAGGTGAGGCGAGATGGGGTGAGGTGAGATGAGGTGAGGTTAGGTGGGGTGAGTGAGTTCAGTTGAGGTAAGGTGAATTCAGATGAGTTTAATCCTTGTTTGCCATTGCCTTCGTATTGTTTTTTTTTTTTTTTTTTTGTTTTTCATTCCAATCACATTGTTCATCTTACTTTAAACTTATACCGAATTTTCATCTACAACTTCCTCTTCAGCTTCATCTTCATCGTCATATTCACCTTCATCTTTCTCTTGATCTTCCATCTTCATCTTCTACTTAATCTAAATTTTAGTATTTTTTTGATAACCACATTGTAATAATTGATTTTACCTACGTGTTATATAAATCAATTGGAAAAATCAAAAAAAAAAAACTGAAACCATATTGCATATCTATAGGGCAAGCCCTTTAGTGTGACAAGTCTGATGACGTCATCTTAAATTTTAACAAAAGCATTAACCAGGGATCAAGACTTTGGTTTGCCAAGTGGAAGTACGAACCTCTGTCCACTCTCCAAGTTATTTCTGCTTTCTACAAATACATTTTTCGTAAGTCCGCTAGAGTATAATCAAAACATTTTAATGATTGGTTTTAACGTATTTTCCGTTACTTCAATGTGTAAGCTTTTGGCCCTATTATATTAAATAAAAGTATACTGAAAAGTAAAGAAAAAGTCTGGCAACCCTGGTGTACGTACAATGAATGATCAATGAATTTATGTCTAAAAAGAAGAAAAAGAGCGATCATTCCGAACTTTCAATTCTAGATTTTGAATACAAAATTTGTCTGATATCTTTTTGAGCAGAAACTAACCATCTACTTTTGTTTGCTTTTATCTTTTTGTGGATAGTTAATAAAATTAAATGATCCCGGATTAAAGATTTTTCATGTTTTTTAATCGATATTTTTCGACACTACGGGGTTTTCACCAAAGCATTTCGAGATTTTTTTCGGGTACTTTTACATATTTTTTAGGATTCACCTTTTTGCCCCCTTCGGTCATTGTTCAGGAGATCTCGGGAATCTTCGTGATTTAAGTAATAAAAGTTATCGGTATTTTTTTTGTTACTTTTGGGGATTTGTTTTTCACTTTTTGAAATTTACCGGATTTTCTCGAGACCTTTCGCAAAATTTTCTCGGGATTTTTTAGAGGCCGTACAGGGATTTTTTGGGACCTTTCAGGATTCTTTGTACCTTATTTTTCGAAGTTTTCGGAACTTTTGACATTTTGCGGGACATTTTAGGATTTATTTGATCTTTTTGGACCCCTTACGGGATTTTTTGAGAATTCTTCAGATTTATGGTGCGTTTTTCAAGCCCACATATAATTTTTTCGGGACTTTAATTTTTTGGCTGTTTTTTCTTTCCGGATTTTGCGAAACTTATCGGCGTTTTATTGGTACTTTACGGAATGTATTTGCCATTTTTTAAACGCTTTAAGAGTTTATTTCACGACTTTAAAAAAATTTTGTTAGTGCCCGAACAGGATGGAATTCTCGCCTGTCTTATTCATAGGGATTTTTCAACCCTCTAAGGGCTTTTTAGAGAGTTTTTAAGATTTTCTGGGCTTTTTCAGAATCATCAAAAATTATTTCGGTTTTTATCGGCTTTTAGCATCCTTCAAGTCCTTAATTACACTCAAATCTAAACTTTGATTGTTATGAAGCGCAAAAAAGTAAAGTGTCAAAAATAATGGATATTTTTTGCTCAAATAAAAATTAAACGCTAGTGCTTTAGCTTTTCATTATAAAATACATACAAGTACTTATAGCCAGTTTCACGAAAGCAAATTAAGTGATTTTTTTTATACCCGAGCGCACTTGTTCACAAGGGTATATTAATTTTGTTCACATAACGGTTGTTTGTAACAGCTAAAACGAATCGAGATAGATATAGACAAATGTATACATAAATGATCAGGATGAAAAAAGAAATCGATTAAGCCATGTCTGTCTGTCCGTCCGTCTGTCCGTGTACACGATAACTCGAGCAAAAATTTAGATATCTCAACGAAATTTGGTACGTAGGTTTCCCTTAATCCAAGGTAGGTTGGTATTGAAAATGGGCGAAATCGGACTTTAACCACGCCCACTTCCCATATAACGGTAATTTCCAGAAATACGAAAACTGCGATATTTTAGTAACTACTGAAGATAATTCACTCAAAATTGATATTTACAATAATTTTTAGACGTAAAATAAGAATATTATAAACTTTTGGAAAATGGGCGTAGCCACGCCCACTTACGGTTACATGTGTATATCTTGGTAACCGCTGCACCAATTTCTTCCAAACTTGGCACAGTTGTTGGCCTTGGTACAGCATAAAAAACCGCCGAAACTTTTTAAAATCGGACAATAACCACGCCCACATCCCATATAACGGTAATTTAGAGAAATACAAAATCTTCGATAAATCATTAAATATTGAAGCTAATTTATTCAAAATTGATGCTTGCAACAATTCTTTACCAAGAAATACGTTTATGGTAAAATTTTGGAAAATGGGCGTGGCACCGCCCACTTATGTTCACATATAAGTATATCGGTAACCGTTCTACCAATTTGTACCAAACTATGGTTATTGTACTTGCCACGTTTAAGCAAAACGTTGAAAATTATTGAAATCGGACTAAAATAACGGCCGATTCTCATATAACGGTAAATTTAAGAAATGCTTGAAATTTCAATATTTCGAAATTTAAGGACGCTAATTTACTTAAAATGTATACACCCCGGCTTATCATGTAGCGGTAGCTTTCGGAAAGGAGGAAAACATATATTTAATACTTGCGCCGGGTATTTAATGTTCGGCTCCGCCCGAACTTAGACTTTCTTACTTGTTTATCTTTAAATTTAATATGAAAACAAAAAATAAGTAAAAAAACATTTTTGCTGTTGAAACCCCCAGTTAGTAGGATTGCCACTTTCAGTAAACGCAAAAAAAATGTCACCAACGTTCTATCAAAAACAGGCCTCGCAACTTCATGACACTTTTTATGGGATTTGGACGAAATTTTTAAAAGCAAACTGTAAAGCCAGCTTATAAAACACTGTACAATGAGTGCTAAGCAAAAAGTGTTGCCAGGAAAACACGATTAAATTTCACCAAAAAAAAGAAAGGTCTCGAAACAAGCATGTAAAAGTGGTTCACTCAAAAACCATGCAATATTTCTACAAGCACAACTAAAAAAATCTACAGCTGTAAACACCTACTTTGACAAGGCAACAAAAAAAAACTCTAAGCTAAAAAGTACTTGCGTACAACGACAAAAAGGCTTTAACTTTTAACAGTTTTTACATTTTTTGCCTTTGCGGTTTTTGCGGTAGCATATCATTACGCTCGGCAGTGAGCAATCTCTCATAGCATGCTATAGCTACATACAAACTGGTCTTCAACTTCGTCAACAGTGATAACACTTTTCTGATACAATTTTATGCATTTCTGCTAATGAGCAGTTTAGAAGTTGCAGAGCAAGTCAGTCGACCATCGACGAGTTGCACTCGCTGGCTTTGGTCGAGAAGATGACTACAGTAAACAACAATTGAAAGTTATGCATATAGGCACAAGTCAAATGCAGAGAAAACACGCACACGCTTAGCATTAAACAACAACACATACACATACGTATGTACATATGTATGAGCTCAGTATGTACTCACCTAATACTGTCGCAATTAATGCGAGTCCACCGTGTCGTATGATGAAAATGCGAAAGTTTATTACCCACAATTGGAAAAGTTTTATACGTAATTAAAAGTTCCAAAATCGCTTCGAAGCATGTGGATCTTATTTGAAATTGCTCCTGTTCGTCCACCATATTCTCATCGTAAACTTTATTGATTAACAGCAAGAATGTCATAAAGTACTCCTCGAATTGTTGCCTTGTGGTAAAGCCAAAAATTGATAATCTGCAAGAAAATAGTATGATGGTTAATTAAGTTGTTTTATAAATGTTTGTGTTAAGGTGGTCCTTAAAAATATCAGCCTCTACATTTTGTATGGGCCCCTTTATTTTTTTTTATAAAGACATCCATGGAAATTAAAAAATTTTAACAAATTTTTAGGAGTCGCTACCGGTTATTTATAGCTAAAGAAAGTCAAAATTTTTTTCGAATTTTCGCGATTTAAAAAAGTCTATCAGGGTTTGACTTTTTTACTATTAAACATTTTTATAGAATTTCGGTGGATGTCTTTATCTTGTACATAGAAGAAAAAAGGGGTGATGTTGATATTTTTTAAGGACTACCCTAATTTATATTTATCTATGTAAGTACATATAGACATTGTATAAATCAATTGGGGAAATAATTGATTCAACTAAGTTTTTGTAAAAGTAATAATTGTTTAGTTAATTATATAAATGAGCCAGCGTGTCAACGGAAATTAGCAAATTTAGTGAAACTTCATTTGAAAACAGATGAGACATTGCAGCACAGTAAAATGAATCAGCGCAAAACTAAGGCAGACGAGGAGAACTTGATAAGGACTTCACTTTTGTCCTTGTTAAGCAGAGATTGGCAGAGATGCTTGCCAATATTTGTTAGCTTTCAGGAGGGACCGGGTTCGAATGCCATTAGGCGGAATATATTATTTTTTATTCGATTTTTT